ACATATCTTCGAAAAGAATTAGAAACTCTGGGTGCTGATAGTCCTACACTAGAATCAACAAGCATACCTCAGATTACTAAAGAATCACAGAAAAAACAGAATGAGCGTCACGAACTTAATGAAGACAAAGGTATGGATTGCCCCGAATTCTTTTACTCAGAGAATGTTCAGGATAGACTTAGTAATTGTGATATTACCAAACCTTCTTCCATGCAGAATTTGATTGATGTAATGGTAATGTTATCTATGAGACCAGCAGATGTTGCAACTCTTCGTATTGATCACTATTCACCAAGCTACGAAAAATAGTATGATCCTAAATATTCTTGGTATTGCACTGGCTATGCCAAAAGTCAAATTGATGAACCTTTACTATTATTTTCAATGGAAAGGGATCCAAAAAAAGCAATAGAACTGCTTACCTGGATCCAGAAGGCAATTCCAAAGACTTTTCCATTTCTATTAAAAGATGAAAATGATTATGTAAAAGTTTATCCACTTAATCGATTTCTAGCTCCTCATGGTATTACCTCATATCATTTAAGAAAAATAGGTGCTGATCATGCATCAAGAGTCCATGGTGGCAAAAATGATTCTTGTCGCCAAAGGTATCGAGATTTAGCAACGCGTCATAAAAAAGGATATAGAGCTACAGCACGACATTATGGTGTGATGAATGATAGGCCAATTATTCCAGCACCTAGGCCAACCACCCCTATGATTAAAAAAGAATATAATGAAATTGAGGATATTATCAGCCTATATGGAGAAATTTCTGATGATGATAACTAATTACTCTTCTTTGCTTCGAGAACTTGTATACGTATTTCATTCTCATCGATGTTAGAATATTCAGAGCCTGATTCAGTTGAGGATGAAGACGAGGAATAATTATGAATGCGCTTTTTCTTTTTTACAGATATGACACATTGTTTTTTTAGCAATACTTGGGTTTGCTATTGAGTTTATAATATCTTGCTGAATCTCGGGTCTTACTATCTCCAGTAATTGGCAGAGAGAAATCTGGATTTTTTACCCGATACTTGCCTAACAATACCAGATACTGCTCTATTGGTATTCTGAGATTCGTTGTTATCCCCATTAATTTTTAATCTA